TATATGTGAAAAATTTAAATATAATTTCATTTTGTTAGACTCCCTGCACAAGGTCACCATGTTATAATCTGATCATGTCGTGCATGCTAATAGATTAGGTCCCATTGATGAGCATTTTCAAATGCCTGTATCTTGTTAGCTGAAGGACTGTCTGTTCTGTTGAAACAGCGTATCTTATCATTAAGGTGCTTGATTGGCGTGAGCTGCACAACAGGTTAATCTTTTCCGGCAAGTGTCGTACTTTGGGCTGATAATGGAGGATGATAGAGGCAAGATAGGACAAGGATATATCTAAAAAAAACTTATGCCTCTCTGAAAAGGTTCTTCAGGTAAGTTTGATATCTTTTATTAGACCAACTGAATAATTGGAATAATTGTTCTTTGCAAGCTTTCAGGTACAAACACCCTTCTTCAGACACAGGGAGAGTATTCTGTTGTTTTGTGCCTGAAGAAGGGTGTTTGTATCTAAAAGCTTGCGAAGAACAGTTTTGCTAACTATTTAGTTGGTCTAATAAAAGATAACACATTTACTCAAATAACCTTGTCTACCTATGTCCTTAGACCAACACAGCTACAACCAACAACCCCAGTATGTTTTCTGAACCATGTAGTCTCTAAGGTGCCATGCTGCCCTGCCTTCTTTAGAGGGAAGAAATGCTTTGAAGGCATTCCACATAGCATCTAATACATACACCCAAAGTTAGGATTTCATTGACTCTGTAGTAGTTACTCCATTGGCAGATCAGAATTGTAAAGGACTACATGCCCATTTTTTGCCTTTCATACAAATTACTCATTGTTTAAATGAGTGGCTGTTTCACCTTCCACATTGTTAGTTTTAGAACATGAATGGATGCGAGTCTCTGGTGGCTCTTTGCAGCTATATAGTAGCCTTTTTCTATCTCCTCTTCTATCCCATCTTCCAAGCATCTAAAAACAGTTGTGTGCCTTTTTAGTAACTTGAATATAATATATTGGGATGCCAAATCATGATTCAAGTCATAGACATCCATTCTCAGATGTCTTTCTCTACCGTGGTTTTCTTTGAACTATATCCCTCAATCACAGCTCCAGAGATGGCAAAAAACAGGTGTTGTATAGTACACAAGCTGATGCTATTTTAACCACTGTCATGTAGACCTACTCATAATTTTTAAAAATCATGACTGTAAGATTCAAGCTGCCAGTGTTCCTGTTTCACAATTGTTGACACCACAGATAGATTGCACCACTGGCGACGCAATGAAGGAAAAGTTGAAAAAAAACAGTACTCCCAGGCGGAGGACAGGGCACAAGGCCTGTGGAGTTTAAAACCTGAGAACAAAGGATGGCATGCAGCCACGTGCACAGGCTCATCTCATTGTTTTGTCTCTCTGAATTGGCTCTTTTAAATAACAGTGTTGTGTTAGTCTTGGTAAAGTGGTTGCTGTATTCCATTTTGTATTCTTATATTTTTTTTCCTTAAACATCATTGAGCACTAAAATTATTTTAATGACTGTACTTCAGTATTTTGTTGCAAGTATCCAAGAAAATACATAAATTAGCTGGTCTCTAAGTTAACTATGTAGCTTGTTTTTTTTTGTTTTTAACCAACTCTCTGAAGCTTAATCGAGCCTTTCTTTCATTTCATGATAAACCAGAAGGACAATAGCAAGAGGGTGCAAGCTCGGGACATTCACTGAAGGTTCAGGCTGCCTTGTTACACTGTGTAGCATATTGTACAGCAGGGTCACGAGCAAACTTTAAAAACAGATCAACAAAATGGATTCTCATTTAAAGGAGAAAAATGTGGGAAACGGTGGCTTTTCCCTTGCATGCTGACAGAGTTCCAGCCTGCAAGGGGCTGCTTGTCCTCCCCCTCCCCCCCCCCAGCCTCACAGACCCATCCCCTGCCCTACACACTGCGGGGCTGGAGGTGGGGGGCAGTGGGTCAGAAGTGAAGGGCATTGCGTCGGGACTGGCCACTGATGTTTACAAATGGGTCCTGGTACAAAATAGGTTGAGAATCACTGCTGTACAGTATACTGATATCTAAGACAGAAATGTGAACCTGGGGAAGAACAGTAGTGACTCTGCCACATGGATTTTTTTTGGTGTTGCATAACTTTCTTGCACCTAGCTGCAGTTTAAAAGAAAATTGTAATCAACCCTACAGCTGATTTTATTGCCATCTGCTATTAAAATAGTTTTTATGTGCAGGTCTATACTGTAAGGCTCCACAGCAGTTATCCCTTTGACATGAAGGAATCACTTGGAATACTTAGTTCTGAGCCCAACAGAATGATAGTAAACAAGGAAGCTTGCATCATGGCATGATCCAAGTGCTGAGTCAGTTTAAATGTAAATCTGCAGTCAAGCAGTGTTGGAATGTGTGTGCCATGTAAGAGCATAACTCTAACACACAGAGAATATAATTGGATTCTTTGGGACCTACTAGATTGTAAGTGCTTGTCTTGTCTTTAGAGAGCTTGGTAAGAAAGTTATATCTTGTATCAGGGGTTGGCAAAAACCCCCCTGCAACCTCAACTTGGAAGATGTTGGTGTGCCAGGGTCGGATGGTGGGGAAACCACAAGGGGCCCAGTCCTTGTTGTGGCAGCTTAGCCCCAGCCCTTCCCCACCAGGCCCCTTGAGTGAGGCACCTGTGCAGCTGCCACCAGCAATGAGCCAGGCTGGGGCTCCAGATCCTGGTGCAGCCACTTGTAGACTTGTGGCTACCTACTGCAAGCAGCCTAGGCTCTGGGCAGGCTCCTGCCACCTGCTGTGGAGCCTGAGCTGCTTGCAGCAGAGCTTGAAGCCTCCTTATTGCCTGCTGTGAGTAGCGCTGGATCTGTGACCGGTGGCAGGGACCTGCCCAGAGCCAGCTCTGGCGTGCTGAGCAAAATGGCTTCATGTGCCATACTCTGGCACACATGCTGGCAGTTGCTGACCGTTGCCCTATATCAACAGTTTAGTTTAGTGACTGCCCCTAGTGTGCACCCATAACATAAATCTGTTGCACTGAAGCATTTGTCAGTACCTTGCAGGCTGTAAAAGGTGATTGGTCCCATATATTAATATTGGTTGATATCATTTTTTTTATTTGTAAAACTTCTAACTTAACCATTTTCTTATTAAACTTTAAATCAGACTTTGCTAGTAGTCAAGTCAGGTTGCAAGTGCTCCATCTACTTTTGCGGGATCTTCTTGTCAAATATTTAAACGTAAATAATGTAACTGCTTTGTACATGCTAATGTCTCATGTGGGTAAAAACATTTATAGAGTTTCAGACACTTCCATTATTTGGAGACAGGTTGCTGGTGTAAACCTGATGTCTGAATAAGAGCAGAATCGCTCTCAATTCTTTTGCGCAAATAAAACCAGCCTGTTTATAGGCCACGTACTGGGGGAAATGTATTTTAAGGCCTTGTATCATGGAATCACAGTGATTCTCAAGCAAATACCCCAACAAGTACTGTATTACAGTAAAGTATCAAAGTTGTATTTAAAAACTCGAATGCAAAATATTGCATTCTAAACTAACATACTACTGTATATGGCTTTATAGTATATATGGAACTTGTATATTCATTTGGCGCACAGTTGAACTTCATTAATGGTCCAGTCTTGATTCATGTGGTAGCAATTAACAGACAATCCTCAGCCTAAGCATACAACTACTTGATCAGTTGTTTTTAGACTGGTCTGAATAAAGTAATAGCATTTTTACTTAAAGTCCTTAAAGTGAGCAGGTGAAATTAAAACTGACAAAGTAGTGGGGCAGCAGTGGACATATTTGCTAGATGTTGATTATGCTTTGTAATGGTGTAAATTCTTTCCTTCAGTCTCACTGATTAGTAACAAATCTTTTAATGCGAGTTTATGCAGTGCCTGTTACTGATGGCATGCTGATTGCTGAATGTCCTGGGATAGAGAGGTGTAAGGTAGCAAGCTGGTGGATAATGACATTCATTTAATTCAGATTAGAGAATTTACTTTTCCCTAACTTCAAATAAAGATACCATCCTGGACAGGTGGTAACTGCTAAAGGTGTTGGCTCTTCAGGACAAAGTAGGTCTTCTGTGCTCTGTTTTTTTTAATTGTTATTATTTATTTATCATTGAGTAAAGAGGTGCCAGTTTTTGCATAGTCATGTTTTAAAGAATTGAATTGATCTAAAGTGAGGTGAAACCTCCTGTACAGATTGTACTCAGTGAACATTGGAAGTTTTCAATGATCATTTAGTTGTGTAGACTTAGTGCTTTGAAGTTGTAACATTTGCTATTTTTTTAAAAAAATCTGTAAAGCAGGGGTGTCAAACATATGGCACATGGACTGGGTCTGGCCTGTGGAGCTGTATGATCTGGTTCTGGGGTTGCTGGAGTGCCAGTGCCAGCAGCAGGAGAAAGCTGTTATCCAGAGTTGGGATTGGGATGCTGAGGTTGGGTCCATGGGATTGTCAGGAGCCTGACCTAGTTATCCTCCTCCAAATCCACTTTATTGCTGCTTTAGCAGCAACCAGACACTTCCAGTGCATTGTCTGCTGCTGGTTTAGCAGCAGAATGGGCATGTCCTTAAAATATCCTCACTTGTTTTTTAGGATTACAACAAAATTCTTCTTAAGCAGGTGAGACCTAGTTTACCCTCCAAAGTTTTTTGCTGGCAGAACTTTGTGTGTACTTATTCTCAAAAGTTCTTTTATAACTTCCTGGCTTTTTTTCAACTGATTTTTTTTTTTTTTCCAGATACCATTGCCCACAAATAAGGTGTTAAAACTTCAGTCACGTGAATCTTTTATAATAGCCACTGTTAACCTAAATATAGGGCTTAATACTAGTTTCCTTACAATAAAACTGTAAAAAAAAAAAAAAATTGTTTTGTAGGTGTTATTTAGAGGTTAATGGGTGGAAACATGATGTCCTTGGCCTGAGAAGAACCACAGTTAAATTCTTATTTCATGGCTTTGGGGAGGGGAGGTACAGTCTAAATGTATACTGAGAGTTTTTGTACTTTATTTTCAGAGGTATTGTTGCCAGTATATTGGTTTTCCTGTGTTTTGGAGTCACTCAAGCTAAAGATGGACCATTTTCAAGACCTCATCCAGGTAATTTAAGTCATTTAAACTTTTCAAATGTCTGGCAAATTGCTGACTTTTTACTTCCTTTAGCTGCAGTGTACATAATATTAATACGGCATCTATCCAGTTATGTTAATCCCATAGCTTCTTCTTAGTACTGAAAGACCACCTTTGTAATCGATAGATATTTCCAACACTACATCATTTATTTATCATTTAGAAATTTAAAAAAAAAAAATAGAAAAATAGGGCTAGAAAGGACCTCAGGAGGTCATTAGTCCAAAACCTTTGCTCAAGGCTGGATCGTACCTGTCTAAACCCTCTCAGCCAAGTGTTTGTGTAACTCATTTAAAGACTTCATGTGATGGAGATTTCACAACCTTTCTGGTTGTGCTTATAAGAATGAAGGTCCTTGTCAGATGTCACTTCTACACACTCCCCTTTTTTTCTTTTTTGAGAATGACATGCTAAAATAGGGACAGTAACAGTTACTCTAAACTGCATGCATATTATGTACTGTGCTTTAAGTCACTTAATAGCAAGGGATTTATTCTGTTCTCTGTAATCTGCAGTCCTCATTAGCAACAAAAATACTTGTACTTCTCCACAGCTCCCTTTTCATTTAAAATTCCCTTTCTGTTTTGTAATTTGACTGTGTTTCTCATTCTGGACAAGTCCCTAATTGCTAGAATTCTAAACAACCCATATGATGATGCGGACTCTGTAGCACAATTTGATAGAATAAAAATGATATTAAAATCAACTTTGATTGTTGAAGGCTTCTATCCCAATGACCATACTTTTTGAGTGTTTTTAAAAATACAAAATAAAACTTGTGTTAAGCGTACCTAAGGAATAATTAAACTTACAGGTCCCTGCTTCTGCTGCTGGATATTTTTAGGCATTAGTAATTGTTTATAATAGAGGTTATTTATATAACTTTGTGTAACATAGTTGCAATCAAAGACAACTTTATTCTAAACATTGTTATAGTTTTATCATACCCTTTCAGGTTGGAAACCTTTATTTGTTTTAAGAAGCAACAGGTTAAAAAAAAAAGTCTCCTGCAAGCAGACAATTGAAGCAACATGCAGAAGGCACTGCAATAAACTTAAGCAGAGTTCCAGCTTTCCAGTGTGCTGATTAGATGGCAGTGTCTGATACCCTGCCTGGCTCATGAAGAATTTAAAGGATTTCAGTGATGTATTTGGGCTGAAGTTCTAGCTGTCTGTGAGATGCTTCAGTTGTTTTGTATCTACAGATGTAAAATTTCATTTATTTAAAATTTAAAAAATGCAGACTTTTGGAAGCAGAGCAGTTACCAGATTGAACTGATCATTTTTTATTCTGGTCAGATGCCCATGAACAGAATATTTAAGGAATCTTCCTTGTGTATTTAATCATTCAGAGCAGGGGTGGCCAGCCCATGACCTGCATGGCACAAGTGGCATGGGCAGTGTGTATGGCATACAACAGATCAGGGAGGGATCAGGGAACACAGCACAGGCTTGTTTTACACAGGTGGCGAACTGTGTAGCATGAAAGTGGACATATGCTCTCATTTGGAATTGTTTTTACATTAATGTTGAGTATTTTCTTTACCTGTATGATCCTTCTCAAAGTGACATTTAAAAAGTTAGAGCGGTTATATGCTGAATGTGTTAATGCATTATTTGCATGAACTGTTTGCCCCCCAGTTTGTGTGAATTCAAAAGAAGACTATTTTGTACAGTGTACAGAGGGCTGGGGCCCTGCAGGTGTTACACTTAAGATGCGATTAATGTGTTAATCTCATATTTATGAGATTAACACATTAATCGCATCTTAAGTGTAACACCTGCAGGGCCCCAGCCCTTTGAACACTGTCATAGTTTTAACCCTGCCATATGTTCAAACAATTAATGATGCAATAAAACAAGAAACCAGCTACAAAAATGTTCCACATTTGCCTGTCCCCATTTGTTCACCTCCCAGCTCCATGGTGCTGGCAGCTGAAGATGGAGGAGCTTTGGGTGCTGGAGTATCTGGAGCCCATGTGCCAGCAAATCTAAAGGGTTCTGTGGGAAGCATAGCATCAGGGACCAAGCTTCCCATCTGCCTGTTGCCTAATTGGGATCTGATGAATTTTATTCCACATCCCAAAAATCACGCGTCTCGTCATGCACACATAGCACAGCATGACAGTTTATGCAATCTGGATGAAACTTGTTTGATTCTAATCTTGTGCTTAAGTCAACATGTGCTAAGGACTGTAAAAATAGACCCTTTTCAGGCATGAATGAAGGATGCTTCCCCAAGGCTTTTTGAAGGACAATTTGGGTGTCTCTTGTAGGAGCATTGTATTGCAGGTCTTAAAGTTAGACTTCTGAATATACATAATGCACACTGAGAGATGTGGTAGACTATATTGGTGAAGTAAACATAGAAAAATGGATCCATTTTGATCCCACTCCATGATTTCTATTCTTGGGGAAGATGACTTTTAATCCCAAGAGAACTAATACCTTACTGGTATATACCTCTTCCTATTTTATAGGCCGCATTTAAATACGATTGTAGGCCTGAAAGGGGCCACTGGGTCATTAGATGCAGTCCTCTGCGATCACAGGCAACTGTGCCACATAATTTAATCAAGTACTTCTTTAAAATAGCTAGATTTGTTGTCCCTGCTACACTGATTGGGAGGCTGTTCCAGAATCTCACTGTTTCAGTAGTTAACACTTTATTTTCAGCCTTGGTTATGATCGGCTTATACCCATGTGTTATGGTGCCAGCATTTTCCATCCCTAGCATTTACCCCAGTCATAGCCTCTGAGCCTTTGTTTTGCTAGGCTAAATCAGCCAAACTCCTGTAGTGCCTTCACACATGATACTCTTTATTCCCTTGATTATAGTTGTATTAGTCTATACCTCCTCCAATTTGAATTAATTTCTTCTTGAACACAGCTGACCAGAACTGCACACAGTGTTCCAGATAAGGTGTAACCAGTGCCGTGTAAAATTATATTAATGTGTCCCTGTTTCTTTTGGAAATAACTACTGATATATCCTAGAATTACATTTTTGGTGGGGAGGAGGGAAAGGGGGTTGGGCTGTTTTTTGTTTGTTTGTTTTATGGTTGCATCACATCAGAATTCATAGTTATTCTGTAATAGACCAAGTTATATTAGTCATTGTTCTTCTATTTCCAGCTGAGCTGCCAGCTAAGAAATAATTCTTATGGGTTCCAAGTGTGTGGCTTTATTTTTGTACTGCAGAATTTCATCTCCTTTTTGTTATTCCACTCCTCAGTGTTATCCAGTTTTTTTCTGTATGATATCTTGATCCTCCTTTTATATTAATGATACCTCTTAATTTTGTCACTAGCTAATTTCACTGGAACACTTTTACTTTTTTGTGCCAAGTCTCTTACTGAAAATATGAAGAGAATGATATTTTTTTTTTTAAGATCAGTTTTTGAGGACGTCATCATTTCTTCAGTGTAATAGTTCCCCTTTCAATGTTACTCATTGCCATCTCAGTGCAGAGATTCTGCGGTTTACAAACCGTAGGTGAATCACCACCAATAGATAAACAAATTCAGTTATCCCTAAGGAATAAGGATGGATCCTTCCTCACCAGGGGACTTGTGATGCATATTGCCCTGTTTACTGCTGTCTGCCAGCTCCTGAGTTTCTAGGCTAATATCCAGGTATGGAGGAAGTGATTTTTCTTGCAGCTGTATATGATTAGATGAAGAGCTGCAATATTTTGCCTTTATAGCATGTATAAATAAAAGTTGTTCCTGGATCTTTTGACAACTGTTTGTGTATCATGTACTATATGTAATTCAAGTATACAGGATACCAGTTCTCTGAGGGAGTAAAAGAGGATACTTGTCAGTTTTGAAATCAGGATACAATACGTACAATTCAAATAAGCTGGATGCTGTATGATGCAGTTATGCATCATTGTCTGTCTTTAACAGGGGAACATGTCCGCAGTTTCCATGACTTATATCTCCTGAGATTACTTGTTATTTTACGTTTGCTGATGCAAGATTATGAATTTATCTCCTTCTATGTACAACTTATATGCCATTTGTGGTTTCATAATAAAAGCTATAAATGACTTAGTCTGAAGATTTAGGGATGGAGGTAACTAAACTAACAATGGATAAACGTGAATTCATATCACACTTGCAGACAAGAATTCAATTGCTTTTGTATGTATTCTAGATAGAATGAGCGTGGATAGAGTAGAGTGTGGGTGGAATTGAATGGAAAAGCTTTGTTAATGTTGCAGAAGAAAGGCCTTCGCTGGATCGAGATACAGTAAAATCTCTGTTATCTGGCATCCCTGGGGCATGGGGGGTGCCGGTTAATCAAATATACGGGTTATCTGAGAGTTGTACTTATGGTTCACCAAATTATTGGCAACATAACACACTTTTGCTTCTGTCCTGCGCTTGTTGGTGGACTATTGGTAACCACAGTTGCAGAATGAGCGAGATATTCAGCAATAAAGTCATGATACAGTACAAGCACAATGCAGTCACAATGGTGGATGGCGATAGCAGATGTTTACAATTGAGACTGCCACCAGCGACACTGCTCGGCAGCGTCCTGAGGCTTCTGTAAACAACAGATCTATGAAAAGCTCATGGCAAGGTGCTGGATGGCTATCGGAATTTTTCCAGATACATAAAGGAAGATTTGTATTGCCATCTATGACAGATGCCGGTTTATAGAGCATTCCTGATGGTAAAGTGCGGGATAACACAGCTTTTACTGTACAACGAATAATTGGCAATAATTTTGATTTAGGTCTCCTTTAACAATGCAGAAATCTGGGGTGGGGGGCATCAGAGGAAGTTCATTTGACTTCCAGAATTAGTAGGATAGGTGTTTAGTTGTCCTGTCAACTGCGTTTTACACATCAGGCAAGGCATTTGTATTCAGTAGTTTGGACAAAGTGAAGATGTTACTGAAAGGAGCATGGCAATACAGGCAAGGTTCTTTGAGTAGAAGTGATACCTTTCATTAGACCAACTAAGTAGTTAGAAAAAAGTTCTTAGGAAGCTTTTGGGCGCAATCACCCTTCTTCAGGCATAGGATGTCTCTGCTGTCTCTTCAGTCTATGCCTGAAGAAGGGTGATTGTGGCCAAAAGCTTGCTAAAATTCTTGTGAATCAGTGTAGGTGTTTGTATACCTAACGATGCTACTATTGTGCATGTCTTCTCATCCCCCCCCCCCCATTAAATTAGGGTTTTT